ATGTGCGTGTGTGTGTGTGTGTGTGTGTGTGTGTGTGTGTGTGGACCCACGCACACGCCTGCACATTGGACTCCTGCTGTGAGGGCCCCTCCCAGGCTTCGTGCTGTGACTGAGTCCGGGTGGCACGGGGCTGTCATCTCCGTCTCCGCGCGTCCCCACGTCCCCAGGCAGGCCATCCTGAGTGCGTTCCACAAGCACCCCGCCGCCGCCCGCCTGACTCTATGACCTTCCGCTCTCCCTCCAGAGCCCCTCGAGGTGGGCCGGGGCCAGGCCTGGAAGGGTGTTTGTGAAGCAGTAAATCTGTCCGGCTCATGGTAACGAGATCCCTGTGTCTCCCCCGTGACTCTCAAAGGCGCCACCAGGCCCGGCTGGGAAATAAGTTGTCCTTGGGGCCCGGAGCCCAGAGCAGGAGCTCCGCGTGGATGCTCAGCCCCGCTCCCACAGGCTTGTGTGCAGACGGGGGCAGGGTGGCCCCCGGGACCGGGACCAGGACCAGACACAGGCTGGGGGCCTGCCTTCCCCCTCTCCCACCCTGCAGCATGGTGGGCTCACACAGAACAGCCAGGCTGGGGGGTCACCTGAGAGGCCAGCAGGGAAAGGGAACTGCCCGGGACCCTCGGTGAGCTGGCCCCGGCCTGGCCCTGATCACAGACTTTCCACTGTGGGACTTAGCCTGGCAGCCACAGGGGTGCTTCAGGCTCGGACCCCCGGGAGTCTGCACTCCCTCTGTCCTGCCCAGGTGGCCCCAGGCTCCTGGTGACCCTGTGCCACACCAGTGTTCCCCGATACCAGCGACCCCCACACCCCTGCCTGGTCCTGAGGGTGCTTGCCTCACTCCCCTCCTCCTGGGGACGCGGGCAGTGTAGGGGTCACGGCACATTTCCCAGCAGGGGCCATATGGTGAGGGTGGGAGGCGCTGGAGGGCAGGCAGGTTCTGGTTAAATTAATAGACTGGAAAACTGAGAACTGATGCCCGTGGATAAGCAAACACTGAACACGGCACGGGGGTGGAGGGGGTGGTGCTAAGAAAACAGCCGAGGAAATGGGCCTGCAGAACAGCCAACCCAATTAGGAGGCAATTTCCGTGACCGCACGGCCCCCTCCCCATCCGGCTGGCCTGTTTGCTTCAGTCACGTCCTCATCCCGTTGGCAAATATTTACCAGGTCGTGGGCGCTGACCTGACCCCATTAACTGCAGTGGCCTCGGTCAGGCCTCAGCGACAGCGTGCCCGTGATCGCCCCGTGGGCCCCAGAGGCCTCAGTCTGACACCAGCCCTGGTGAATGATTCCTCCAGCCCAGCTCCCCACCCCAGGAGGGCCCCATGGGGCCGCTGGCCCAGGCCTCACACTGGGCCCTGGCTGCTGGCTCACCTTCCTTGAGGGCTGGTCCCCTCTCCTCCTCACTGAACCCCAGCAGCTCAGGGCCTGCACAGGTGTCCCACACCCACCCCAGGTCTCCCCGAGTCCCCACCACTGAGCCACTCTGCCTTCCACACTGTGCTGACTTGTCGTGGGAAGTTCTCCGAGCTGCCACCAGCCCCAGCCCCGAGCAGGGGCCGCCCTGCAGACACTCACACCCTCAGACAGGCCACATATACCCCTGTTGGGTGGGTCCCCCCAAAAAACAAGGATGCCACCATGAGCGGCCTCCCAGCTGAGTGACCTTTCCTGCAGGCAGGTCCGGGGCCGGGTGTGGGGCCAGTGAGTACACAGGGGAGGCAGGGAGCCCTGCTGCCCAGCAGGGGGCCAGCCAGAGAAGCCCAGACCCCAGGGGTGGACTGGCATGGCCCCCTCTGCGTCCGTAGTGCCAACCTGTCCCTCCACCTGGCGAAGCCTGTCCCCGGCCTCCCTGCCAGGCTGCCCTCTCCGTCGGCCGCCTCTCCCCTCCTGGTATCTCAGGCTCCAGCCTGGGGCCCAAGGTTGGGGCCTCCACAACTGACACACGCCAGCCTGGAGCTGTACCCTGGCTGGCCCTGGCCCCGGGCAGGTGCATGGGCCTCAGGGACATCCCTGCTCTCAGCTAGCACCAAGCTGGGATCTCACATGACTCCCAAAGGCCCCTCTCAGGGGCTACATGTCCAGGGCCTTAGGAACTTCCATAGACTGGCCTCGGTTCACTACACCTGGGGTGGGGGTCCTACTGCAAAGAGGCACAGAGGAGCCCCTGGCCCAGCGCCCAGCGCGTGCTGACCATCGATCTCATCCAGTGGGATCTGTCCGAAGATCTGCAGGTATGGCCGGTAGAGCACGCGGCGGAAGATCCACTCGAGGCGGCTGTCGTGGGGGTGCAGAAGTGCCTGGGTGGTCACGCCGTAGGCCACCAGCCACACGCTCAGGAAGAAGAGGAAGAAAAAGACGTCCTTCATCTCCACGGGGGTGTCGGGGGGAGAGAAGCATCAGCAGCCGCCTGGCTGGAGGGCCGTGATGCCCCCAGCCCTGGGCGGGGCTCACCATCCGCTCCACGATGATGATCTTGGGGCCCAGCTGCTTGTGGATGGCGAAGATGTGGATGAGCCGGAGCGTGAACACCATGAAGTCGATGGCGAGGACGGTGCGGCCAGCCTCGAACACCAAGGGCAGCATCCTGGGGGTGGGGGACGGCAGGCCGGACGGCTACAGGGGCCAGAGGGGTAAGGGGGCCCCCTCCCAGGACACACAGCCCCGGGGGCCGGGGACACGTGGGATTTCTGAGGCCAGAGTGAGTCCATCCTGAAGGCGGCCCTGCCCCCAGCCCCCCGGGTGGCCCCCCAAGGCCTCTGGGCCCCACACACCTGCAGGTGACACCGACGATGAACAGGAAGATGGCCGCCATGTCACACTTGTTCCAGTTGTCCTCCACGTAGAGCGTGAACTTCTTCAGCAGGTGCGTGTCCTCGTCAGTGAAGAAGCCCTGGTGGGGGCGGGATGGTCCTTGCTGGGGACACCCCCACCCAGACCAGGCCGTGAGCGGCAGAGGGTAGGGCTCGGCGGGCCGGGCCCACCACGCACCTGCCGGATCTCCTCCAGCACCAGCGTGAAGACCCAGAAGTACAGGGCGACCTCGGGCCCTGACGGCCCCTGGGGAGGCGGCCTGAAGTCCACCAGCAGCACGTGGGCAAACAGGAAGAGGAAGGCGAAGTACATGGCCACGTTGCCCAGAAACACGGTCACGGGCGCTCCCCAGAACTTCCGCCAGCGCGTGAGCAGGAAGGCCGCCT